GATGAAACCATCGCTAAGCTGACCAAGGAGAAGAAGGCCCTCCAAGAGGCCCACCAGCAGACCCTGGATGACCTGCAGGCAGAGGAGGACAAAGTCAACACCCTCACCAAAGCTAAAACAAAGCTAGAACAGCAAGTAGATGATGTAAGGCTAACATTATGTCAAAATATTTTTTATTTTATAACTAAGTGAAAGTATGAGTGTGCATTCTCATGATGCAATGAGAACTTATCAAGTGCTTCCTATGAGTGACAAATACAGAGCACGACACCTGCTACAAGAAACTAAATATACACAAGAAAAATTTTAAAAATTAATGAAGAATGTTAGCTGTGAGTAACATGGAGAAAAAGAATTAAGGGAAAGAAGGTTTTGCATGTTCACACAAAAAAGCTATATAAACAGAATAGGTCTCTGACTGAGCGACAGGAAGATAAAAGGATGAAGCAGTAATGATCAATGATATTTACTTTCAGGGGAACAAGGGAGGCCTGAGGAAAGAATGTAGATGATAAATTTGACTTTAAACCTAATCTGATATGTAATAGAGAACCCACTGAAAATGTCTGAGTAAGGGAAGCATTAACAAAGGTCATAGTTTGGAAATATCCCCCTGGTTCCTTCCCATGTGGTGAAAACCTGATTAAAATGGGTTCCAGCAGGGAGATATAGAAGGCAGAATGTCTCAGCAGTTTGTTGCACTGTTCAGTACATCGTACCTGATAAATACTGAATCCTTGCATTAAGTACCAGTGAGCATCGAATTGGTGGGATGAATCTTCCTACTGTATAGAGAAATCGTTTGCTAAAAAGATATGAACTTATGTTTAAAAGTTCAACCTGAGAAAAAAGTGGTGTCATTCTAGAAACTGTACTCATAGTTTGTTAATATTTAGCTTGAAGGCTCTTTGGAACAAGAAAAGAAAATCCGGATGGATCTAGAAAGAGCAAAGAGGAAGCTGGAGGGAGACCTAAAATTGGCCCAAGAATCCACAATGGATATAGAAAATGACAAGCAACAACTTGATGAAAAACTTAAAAAGTAAGCAGTAAGGATAAAAGCCTCAGGGGGAAATTACTAGTATTTCTGTGACTGACATAAAGCACTTGTCCAACAGAAAAGAGTTTGAAATGAGCAATCTGCAAAGCAAGATTGAAGATGAACAGGCCCTTGGAATGCAGCTGCAGAAGAAGATCAAGGAATTACAAGTAAGTACATGATTTTCATCAGCCCAATCAACACGAAAAATGACTGACACGAGAAGCTGAGATTGTACTGTTCACCATTCCCAGGCCCGCATCGAGGAGCTGGAAGAGGAAATCGAGGCAGAGCGAGCTTCCCGGGCCAAAGCAGAGAAGCAGCGCTCCGATCTCTCGCGAGAACTGGAGGAGATCAGTGAGCGCCTGGAAGAAGCCGGCGGGGCCACTTCCGCCCAGATTGAGATGAACAAGAAGCGGGAGGCGGAGTTCCAGAAAATGCGCAGGGACCTAGAGGAAGCGACCCTGCAGCACGAGGCCACGGCGGCCACCCTGAGGAAGAAGCACGCGGACAGTGTGGCCGAGCTCGGGGAGCAGCTTGACAACCTGCAGCGGGTCAAGCAGAAGCTGGAGAAGGAGAAGAGTGAGAT